TCTTGATAAACTCTTTTTCCATAGATCAACAGAACCAACCCTGAAATACAGAGTTTATCATCACCTATAAGAAACGCACCTGTCAGGGTTGATTCTGTTGATCTATGGAAAAAGGGTTTATCAAGAGTGAAACCAGTACAAGGGTATATCGGTTTGCAACGGGTGACAAACCCTTGAACAGTTATAAACGGAAAAAGGGTTTATCAGAGGGTACATCCAATTCATAAACGGATTTAGCAGTTATAAACCCTTCTTCAGGGTTGATCATTCTCCGAAATTTTTTTTGTGTGTGGGTAGTGAACTTAGTGAATAATGTTTTAATGCTATTTTGATCGAGATAGTGACCAAGTAGACAAAATATTGGAATAACGTGTCTAAACATTCGATCGGGAGCCGCGACTGCGAGCCATTAACGCTCATTATAATGATGCATGAGATGTGTCCTTCAGGTAAAATTTTCATTTCTGAGTTTGCAAGGTGTCGAAAATTTCAGTTTTTATTGCTAAAACGCGCTGTTATTCCAGAATTTCCAGAGTAGTCAGTTCTGGCACTGAAAACTAAAGTTTTCGACCATTTTCACACTTTGAAATGAAAATTTTGCACGAAGAACACATATCATGCGCCATTATAATGAGCGTTAATGATTCCGAATTGCGGTCTCCGACTGAGTTTTTCAATGCGGTATTCCAAATTTTCGTCTGCTTGGGCTTAGTCCAAAACCTTTTATACGAAACCTTTTTTACTCTTTTGCGAAACGGTTCGGTGCCGAACCCGGGTTTTTACCAAACTTAAAAAGGATCTTCCCGTGTGTCCGGTGGAAGATCCTTTAAGAGTTCTGTAGAATATCTATTTTTTTTTAGAGTGTTGACTGTTAGATGAAAGAAGAAAAATGTTCCTCACGTCAGTAGAATATGATTACACTCATTGACTTGAAGAAATTACGATAATTCATGGAAGATACACCAACTATTTCTATGCACACTTTCATATAATTTTTTCGACGACAATATTTTTAAAATAAAAGAATTTGTACTGCATTTTTAGTCCTCTTTACTCAAAGTCATTGACCAGATTAGTGACTGATGTGTACTGATAGTGACAAAGTCATCCTCATCTTCAATGTAAGCATTTGAGGTACTAATCAATGTAGTGAAATTGAGTTCCATCTGTTCATTGAGATTCCATTGAAGACCGCTTGTCACTACTTTTAGAGGACCATTGAAAGGAATCAAACTGCAATATTTACCACACATGGGCGATCGGATTTGATGAATAAGATTGAGACCTGGCTTAAGAAGAAATGTGATATCACAATCAGAGATGAGAAAAATATGCAGATCTGGATAAAGATAAAGGGTGTTAATGATGCTCATCGCTTGATCAAAGCGACCACCAAATGTACAAAAAACGTATATGTGCTTAAGAGATTCATGATTTATTCTCTTTTGTAATTCTTGCAAACATTTAGTAAAGTCGGTAGCATCTTGATCTCCTGTTACAACAAGAGGGACATTAAATTTCTGTTCATAAAATTGTTTTGTATCTGAGCTAATTGAATCGAAATCACCACTAATAAAATCAGGCGTAAAACGACCAAGACGCTCCTTTTCTCGTTCAAGGGTAAACTCTCGTAATTCATTACTTCCACCATCAGCACAAGCACAAATTATTGCTCTAGACCAGACTGGTTCCGTTAACCATTTATTAATACTTGACTTTGAATGGTCCAGGATAATGATTCCATAGGAAGATGGGAAGTAAATGTCATTTTCTTTTAAAATACTTAGCGGATAGTGATCGAATAAAGGCTAGAGAAGAAGGAAATAGAAATTTTTTATTTGCATTAAGTATTCTATATATTTTCTTACTTTCTCACTGTTAAACCAATGTTTCAAATAGAACATGGCCAGAAACATTTTCTTCGTGTGACAAAGATTACTTGGTCGCAATAGATATTGGTGAATGCTAACTTGAATCGCTGTAAAATACTAGATTATTTACTTCGTGATTGAAATAAGTGCAAAATAAAACATGGCCTGTTTGTAGATCTATTTTTTATATGCGTGCGGGCTATTGCCCATTAAGACAGGGCCCCAACATGAGAGATCTATTACTGTCATAGATTTTTGTCCAGTTGCTTTGATGAGGAAGGCGTAAGGATCGGTGAATACAATCTATTATAAACTTTTATGTATGTTTTATTATCGTGATCGCGCTACCAACTGGTCCTTAATGATAGAAATTCCAAATTTGCCACTGTTTCAGCAGGAAATCACGTCATTTTGATTGTTGTAAAGATGAGACAACACAATATTCGAAAAGTTACTCAGGTTGTTTTACAAGAAAAAGAAAGAAAACGGTGTTCACGTGTCTTCGTAGTTGAGTATTGCCTGAATTCTGTGGTTTTGCTTTACTACTCATCGAGTGAATACATGGTACTTCTTCTCCATTTCCCTCTCCTTTACTATCAATACAAGTCATTGAGATATCACAATATGAAAGATTAACTTTGCAAATCTTCTTTGGATAACAAGGAAAAGTGTGAAAATCCTCTGAAAAGGATAAATAGTAAAGTTAAATTGATTGTTCTAATCGCGCAAGTAAACTTTAGATACGATTTCAAGGGCGAAGTCATCATAAAAACTGCTAGATTTCTTTATTCAAAACTTGGAATATTTCAACTTATTCTATTGTAAAATTAAGTACATATATATAATTATGCACACTAGAACCGAGCCCTTGTTTTCAAGATATTTACTTTGTAATGTAAGAAAAATGACGAAAATTTGAACGTTTTCAAAACAAAACGTTAAAAGACACTCGATTAATTATTCAAGTACTGTAGTATACAATACATACGAAACTTAATTCAAAAACGAGATTCTCTGATTCCTTGCATCTTGATATACACGTTCAAAGTGCATAAACAGATATTCGTTAACAATCCGGCTCCTTTGGAAATTCTCAGATGCGCAATCAGAAAGCTTAGAATCTGAAAAAAAAGGAAAGAATTTTCTATTTTTCATAAAATCAATACACAGGTCGAACAATCCGGTATAGAAACGCTAGCTTCCGGGGCTTTCCTGTGATTTCACGGAAGTAGTATTCCAGGACGGATTTTCCCAACCTCTGTCAACTGTCAACTTATATTCAACCAGAAATTAGGTGGAAAATCAAGTAAAAAATCCGACCAATTCCGTTTGTGGTCCCTATAGTCGGCCAAGAAACGGACGCAACCATAAATGGGTGGATTTCCAAGGGATTTTTTCCCGTCAAATTTCCGGACGGGTTCTAACCGACGTTTCTAACCTACTACCCGTCAATTCTTCAGCTCGGATGCAGTCCATACTCTCTAAAAAAAAGGGTGTCGCACTGAACCACTTATGGTTCAAACGAAGGTCTAGAACCTTTTAAGGTTCTAGATTAGAGTACCATTTTCAGAACCTTTTTTAAGGTTTTGGTCCAAAAGTTCGAACCTTTTAAGATTCCGCATTTCTGTCTAAAACCATCTTAAGTTCAAGACTTTTTGGCTTGAACTTTAAAAGGGTTCTAAAAATGGTACGAAGAAAAGATTCTTTATGGCACCTTTTTTTCTGAGCAGTTTCGTTTTCTATCATTCTTATGGCGAAAAAAGAATCCCCATTGCAATGAGCATCATGCTCAATGACTCGAAAACTAACATAAATTATAGTATAAAAAAATCAGATAATCATTGTTTTAATTAACTTAAGTATCGGCCAAATTAAGAAGGACATTAGAATCTGAAAAACGTAAAGATGGCTGAATAAGCGTCGATTGAGTAGTGATACAGCGCTGACTTGAACTTGGAAAAAATTGGTTATTAAAATCTGAAAAATGGGCAACGATATAGTCAGCACTGAATACTACAAAGAAAAGGTATGAATCTGAATTCAGTGGATCCTGTTCTAGTCACTCGCGTTATTGTGTGGAAGAGGTTCAATGAATGAGCAAATTTAAATGGTATGAGTAGTGGTGATTGCGATGTCTGTTATCTACAGTTATGTTTTTTGCAGACTATTATGGTTTTTTTGTCTAGCATTCTCATTATATGGGGTTTGAATTACTTTCAGGGGTTGCTGAATAAATCGTAAATGCGCTCGGTAAGCTGGAAGATAGAGGATGATCATAGAATTGGCGGGAAAATGTGCTATTAAAGCATTTCCGGATGGTAATGGTGGGATATGTTCGTGTCTGAAGAACAGGATTGCGCAGGACCATAGCAGGTCCGGCAGTGGATTCTAGTCGTTTCCTGTGGGAAAGCATGGAAGGGCGGAAAGTGTGCTGGAAAACATCGGCCTTTTCCTGTTTGGGATTAATTTCGGCGTATTCCGTTGATTTCGACGGTGCTCTTTTGTTGTCAGCGGTTACATCTAATAAAATACAGACTGTCCCTTGTTATTCCGGGTAGATATAACATAGTTATGAACGGTTTCAAACCCAATACTATAAGTTTTCTTAAGAAGTTCGCGCGGATACGGCTTTGTTCCAAGGTGATCTTATGGAGGGGATTTTGTTGGAAGAGGAAGGATCTGGTACGGTGTTTTCCAGTCCGGAAAACTGCTTCCATTTACTCTGTGTTCTTAGACAGCTTCGGGGGATGTCCTGGAACGCGGTGAAAGTGGCGGAAAATAGCTCGGATTTCGGTGGGTTCCGGGTGGACCTGGAGGCCAGAGTCATTGTTGTGGGTATGTTTTTCAAATGGATGCTGTTGGAAATCACGAAAAATCCTGGCAAAGAGGATAATTTTAATAACGGATCGTGTTATTGATTTAAAAGGAAATCTCGCGTTATCATCTTTTGCACCTGTCGTCATTTCAATAACTCAGAAAAGAATTAATTGTGATTTTAGAGCAATACAAATTTTGAAAAAAATTTGAACATGCTTCATCACAGACGAATAGATACGAGCTTGTTTTCGCAGAAATTGAACAACGCATAATCAATCGCTTCATGCAGAACAATTATTAAACGTACATTTGCATATATCACTTACGGTCACTATTAATCTTTATGGAGGAGCTGAAGCCGCCACTCCCTTTCAATACTTAACCAAAAGACTGAGCTATTTATAGCGTAAAAAAGTAATTTTTATTTGATTCGTAAATTATCGCTCATTCGACCATGCTAACAGGATACTTTGATCTTATACTATTAGGGAAACTCTTTGAAGTCGATCGATTTGCTTCAATCAATGCTTGCAGTACGTTAAGACGTAACTGTGTTGATTTGAGGTTAGTAAGAAAGAATTGCCATCAATTGTCCGAAAAACGTATATAGATTCAAAAAGTAAGTACCAAGGCGTTGCGCCTGAAGAAATGATATGTGCTACAACAGTTTTAGTTGAACAGATCGAGTTTTGGCTGTTCTCACGTCTAGAGAAGTTCGACAATGGACAATATTCGCTAATTTCTCACTACAAACACAAAGTTATTTTAGAATGACTGAAAGATATGACTCTGAACGAGTGTTAAAGAAAATATGATACACAGATCTACACTCTGAATAAAAAACGTTTTCTCAGAAACTGAATACCTTTCAGAAACCCTTTGGAAAACGCATAAACGTATCTGAAAAGGTTTTCGGACTCATGTTCAATTTCAAGTACCTTCCGGGTTTCCGCGTATTCTGGAGCCTATGAGCTTGCAAACTTTAGCTTTGGAAGCCATCACCAGTATTCTCAGAAATCCTGGCGCTATCTGTAAAAATCACTTTTGATTAAAAATCCTCTCGAAAACTTTTGAGTTTCTGAATGTTCAAAAAACCCTTGCGTTGCTGAGAAAATGTTTTTGAAGCAAATTCAGTATTCTGAAGCACTCGAAATAACATTGGGACACTTCATTTTTTATGTTCACATTCCCACCGTTATGTTATAGACTTAGAACATGTGCAACATGCATCATATGAATCTTAGTTATTTTATGTGCAGCTGCTGTATAAAACCCTTAGAACTCTGAGAATTGGATAAATAGATAGCTCCTGAGAGTAGATCGACTCCTTTTTACATCTTTCAGTGCCTATAACCTTGGATGGCTTATGAAAAGTTATACTGAGATAATTGAATAGCTGAACTAAATTGTCAGGCCATTCAAAGAATGTCGTCTTTCTTCTTCTTCTTCATCCATTTATAGTTCGTCGAAGTGCAAGTATTATCACTCTTGTCAACAGATTACAACGGAATATAGTGGAGGTTTCGACTATTTCAGAGTTCTTTTAACCGACTTATACAGAAAAGTGATATGAGAGGAATGATGACAAATCGCTAAACATGTATTCTTCCACATTGTAGGATATAATTCCCAAAGTGATCCTGTAAAAGGTCCGAAAAGAATTCTAAACACCAAAACTACACTTCAAAAGTAACAAAACTTAAGATCGCAAGACTTCAAATAGCATCAGTATGGCACCTTCGACAGCATTAATGACGCCAGAAGTCAGACTATCTTAAAGGCTTAAACTCCAGTAAGCAAAATTTTTCATCGCTATAGGACTCCCCTTGACTTCATGACTCTGAGTTCCACCGGGTATAAGACTTAACAACATTAACTAACTTCATGACAGCGATTTTGAGCGATGCCAAGACTCCAACACACAAGACTGTCTTTACGATTCTTGCTAAAAAACATAAAGACACGATTACTTAGACTGACTCCATGAGCAAGATTTTCAAATACAGAAAGACAAAACTAGTAAGGGTAACTTTTCATACGCTACATCAAAGAATGACATGTATACTACACCAATAAGGCTGACAGCAACCCAAGCAGACAAACTTTTAGGAAAACGCGTTTACACACTCAATCGGGAACCGCGATTGTGACTCATTAACGCTCAGTAGCGGAACGCAAGAAACGCGTTTTTTACGCAGAATTCTCACTTTCAGAGCGTGGAAACGGGTAAAAGCTTAAATTCTGAGCGTTTAAACGAATTAGTTTTTAAGTTATTGAATAACTGCGCATTTAAACGCTCAGAATTGGAGTTTTCACGCTCTGAAAGTGAGAATTCTGCGTAAAAAACGCGTTTCTTGCGTTTTGTTACTGAGCGTTAATGACTCATAATCGCGGTTCCCAATTGAGTGTGTAAACGCGTTTTCCCAAAAGTTTGTCTGCTTGGGAGGGCACTGATTATAAAAGACAGGAAACCTTCAGAACTCAGACTAAATTAAGAATATTCTATTTAGAAGACATTCAACTTCTACCACTTCTCTTGATTTAATGATCAGAAATAGGGAAACGAAAGCCCTTGAGGGAGTTCATAAAGTTCATGGCTCTGTTTTTCAAAAGATTTCCCACTTTGACTGGCATCAGGTCTCCGTCCTTCGCGAAACTCATATTTACCTAATTACAGAGAGCCATACAAACACATATGGATCAGAATTCGATAATATATGACGAAGCAGAGTACGAATATGCGTCATTATAATCAATAGCCAGAAAAATTCCAACATACAAAAATGGAGAGTGATGAAATCACTTACCATACATTATGTTGGCATCGTCACTACGATCATTCGTGCGTCAGAGCCCGTTCGATACTTTGCTTGTAGTGAAGCGTTATGTTTCTTCCTTTTTTCTTTCCTTCTTCTTCCTTTCTTCAAAAATATAGAGAAAGAATCATACGAGAAATGAATGGGCAGTGATGTTCTTCACATGTGACTTATGCTTTTGCGTCTTTATTTTATCGTGCTCTTTCTTTCTATTTATTCTAGTCGAAATACCTATTGCGTCATATCTTGTTCCATAAAAGAATGGATCGATGGGATCGCAGTTCTCAATTATTGATATCAGCCGCTATTGGAGTTAGTCGAACAATCGGTGGTCTTCCGCTTGAACATCCTCTGGATACTATTCGAACAAGATGGCAAGCAAATCCAACGAGTTCGAGTAATTCTTGGCAAGTAGCTCGCGAGATCTATGTATCTAAAGGATTTCTAGGTTTCTATTCTGGTGCTATTCCGAATACGACTCGGCGTGCCGTCAAACAAACGTATCGATGGCCAATGATGCTATTTTTCCCTCAGTTTTATCGAGATCATGTTCTATCTCATAGGCTTCAAAAGCAATATCCTCGTTTACCGAAGATTCTTACTGGTCTTTCGATAGCTAATTTTGAAATTCTGGTTATTAACCCTCTGGAACGGCTGAAAGTCTGGCTCATGACCAGCCCAACTCGTATCAGTCTGCTCGAATTCTTTCAAAGACGCTTAGATACCCGAGACATCATCCGAGAATTGTATCGAGGTACATCAGCTGTATTCTTCCGTCAAAATGTTTCCTGGGTCACATTTTTATATACCGATGAATTAATCAAAGCAAAGTTACGCAACTACAAGCAACGTCAAGATTTAAATCATGTCGACCTATTTGTAGCAGGAATGATCGTAGGATTAGTTAATACAGGCGCAATGATGCCATTTGATTATGTTAAAACTCAAAAGCAAAAATTCTATCAGAACAATGACTCGATGATCAGCATTTTTAGAATGACTTTAAAGCAAGAAGGCATTACTCGATTTTACGTTGGTTGGAAAGTGTATCTCGTACAGTATGCTATTGTGGCTATTTTAACAGTAAACGTCTTGGAACAATTAGAACAGAAGTTTAGAAAAACAAGCACAAAGCAAATTTAATAATGGTAAATACCTATATTGTTATTGAATCATAAATGACTGAGAAACTTAAGTAGAATACTCTATTTCCACTTCGACATGAATATCGGTTGTGAATGAGATTGCCGGAGCAAAGTGAGGTGTTTATCTACATCCAAATTGAATAGGAGATCAAAAAATAGAAATACGTGATCTAAAAATATTGTTTCTATTCTATGTTCTTATTTTATAAATTTATTATTCTGCTTATTGTTCTCCATCGTTGTCATAGCGCTTATTTTCATTCGACTGTTTCGTTTCAATATTATTATGTTCTCTTTTTCTGTTTTCTTTATTTTTGCATACGATATTTGCCATTTTTGTCTTCTCCGACAATCCAGCAATATTTACACGTTAATTGTGCATGCTAATTACATTTTTTCAACATGATGTGCATTGGATATTTCGTATAGCGCGCAACATCATACTCTACAATGAGCATCTCCAATATAACAACTTTCATCACACTGAATTTGATTATAGATACTTATATATAGATACACATCAGTTTAACCAAAATACAGCACATATTCATCTTAATTGATTTCACTTCTTTACAGGGTTGTTCTTCTGAAATTCCCGTAGAATACTCTTATGTAAAAATGTTTCCCTTTTCAGTGAAATATTAAGGGCTCCCCCCCCCCTCAGAAAATCGATCTTTTTTCACAAAAATTGATTTTGAGATAAGCATATATACTGAGAGCTCAAAGTGTCATCTTTCAGATTATGTGCGATTTGTCATTTTTTGAATAGCTTTTGGTGGTGAAAATAGCGGTTTTCTAAAAGCAGTAGTAGAAATATATGTTTTTTTCAGAAATTTTCCTTAGTTATGGGGATGTGATATTGGTCCATAAG